ATGAAATGCATGACTATGCTCAATGTCTTGAGGAGTTAAATGATCTAAAACTTATTGCTCATGATGAAGCGCAGGTTTGTCATTTCTTTTTAAAATTTATTTTCACATTTCGATCATCCTCCTTCTCTGCTTTTAATTCTTTTATCATTCTCGAAACGAAGCACCTCTTAATCGTACAAGTTCATGATAGCATTATTGACTACTTATTGTTGACAGTGGAATTAGAATTTGTCAAATCTTAGGTAAAATTCAGTTTTATCCCACAATGATAGTGAACTATCAAAAACAAATTATAAATTAAATTATCAAGAGTTAGTTCTCCTTTAGAATAATGCCACTAACATTTTCAGACAGAAAGTGTTTAACGTGTTTAAATTTAAAGTAAAGTAAGATGAAAATCCTCTTTGAAATTTACTCAGACATTTACTCTAATTTAAACGTGAATACTATAGATTTGAATACATAAATAAGCATGGGTTATCATCCTTATTATCATCCTTTTTAAACTTATTGATACGGGAATGCTTGAATTGAAGTTTGATCAATGTTAATTATGACGAAAAATTTTCAGGTATTTTTCCTCCTGGGTCGCGTGCATAAAAAGCTTGGTGACACACATCTAGCATTATTAAACTTTAGTTTGGCAGCCGAAATGGATCCCCGTGGAGAGCAGAGTCGCAATAATTTTACCGATGCTCCTTATGATGATGAACCTTCCTCTCCTCATTCTGAATGAAAATTCGGTTCAAGTCTGGAAGATTTATGAATTTTTCGAAATTTCTATAAAATTTCTTTGGATTATTTCATGAGCTATACAGGATTCACAAATGGTAGGGTTTTTTTTTTATCAGTTAACATTTAGAAGCCTAGTGATATGTCATATCCTTGGCCATCAGATTTAAGTTTTAGCCTTCTTTTATTCATCGTAATTCCTCTTTGCTAGCCAATTAAATCATATTAGTTTGTTGTTTTATAGCTTTCAAGAGTCGATTTCAGTTATTCAAGTTAATTTTATCCTTTAATAGCTCGAAAATTATAAAGCTTGGTCTAAATTATGATTTGTGCATTTACATGCAAGTGTTGTTGGGGTTATTTCTTCTCTTCAAAATCTTTGATAAATTTTTGATTGTAATTATCAGATTGTTCCGTAGTATTTTATCGGTTTATTCATCTGTTCATACACCTTAGCTACTCATTGTTCACTTTTTTCCCAACATTTTGAGATATTGAAACACAACTTGACTCTGTTGCTACAGTTTGTTGCCTTATAAATATTAAAAACCCACTAACTTCAATGCCCCTGAATCGCGGTTATCTCTTGATGAAATGTGAAACACCGCGTTAGCACACTTCAAATTTTTTACTTCATGCAATCTTTTCTAGTCTTGGCACGATATTTTTGGATCAAATTTTCATTAATGCTTGGAAGTGATTGGAATAAAACATACTGGACTTGTTTATCTTCTAAGCTCTTTTAATAATTCTCATCTCTTCCTTTTAGAACAGGCTGAGGCTTTTAAAAGTTACAATTTGGAGGTATTAGTTGTGATCAGTTCCAATTCCCTTTTTATTCGCTTAAAGATCATTTCAACAGTAGTCTCAACAAACATTTCGACAGTAGTCGCTCTGTGCAGTTTTAAGAAATGATTCGCTTCCGTTTTCTGCATCATTTCACTCTTATTTTTAAATGAAGGATCAAAGGACATACACAATCTATAATATCTGGTTTTCTTATTTACTATTCTTTCACAAAAATATTTATGAAAAAAAAAATCATTTTTAGTTTAAATCTATGATTTTCCTAAAAAGAACTCTAGCTGGTCACACAAATAAGAACAAATGGACTCTTTCTGAAACCTTTTATCGCTAAGCGCATGGAAGCTTTTGTAAGTTTCGATTCGGACAAAAATGCCTGCGTATTTAATCTTGGCGACCAATCTCATGATAGCCTCTTTTCAATTTCTTTGAACTTCGATCATGTTCCATTTATTTCGATCTATTATTAATGTTTAAATTCTCTCAAATAAAAGTATCTTAGTTTTTTCAACAAGAATTATATATCACGATTATATAATACTATACGCTGTGAGTATTGTACTATTTCTGCTATTGACCTTTTATATATTTTTTTAATTTGATATATTCCAAAAATCTGGCAATAGATAAATGTAGTTGTCACTAGATACTAGCAAAACCACTGTATCTGTCTTCCGTGTGAAACGACACACTTGCATATTATCATATGCGTAGATAGATATTTTCATTCCGAGACTGTCAACGTCGATGCGAACGTACATGAGGCGTTGCGTTTCTTTCCGGTAGTTTTTACGCTATGGTGGGTTTCAAGTCTCATATGGGAATGTCTCGACATATGTTTTCGACATCCATTACATATTATATCGGTATATCGTTTCCGTCATTGGAATTGAAAAATCTGCGTTGTTCAATTTAATTTGTCATTAAGAGCTATACTTTCTAATTTTTTGACAAAACTTGTGCTCGAATATATATGTATAAATTTCACTTGTATATTCTATTAGTCGATATGCTTGTTTGCACTTAGTCACTATTGGTGTTCTTGATGTGGACCATTAATTCGTAAATTATTTGAATTACGTGAGGAGGTCGAAATATAAT